ACTCCATCCTAGTCCTCGCCTTGGGTGATAACATACCTGTAGCCAACTTAGGTTGAAGTTGGCTCCAGGTATCCATGGGCTACAATATTCACTAACCATCAGGTGGTCTGTTAGCTCGATCCCCGAAACACTTCACCTCTGCATTGGAAGACATATTCAAGCGACTGGACTGGAAAGGATACGGTATTAACATCAATGGTGAGCAATAGTGAGTACATCACTCACCTTCGATTTGCTGAAGATATAGTCCTTATGGCAGAATTACTGGAGGACCTAAGACCACTATGCTCAATGACCTCAATAATGTCTTCCAACATATAGGTTTTAAGATGAACATGGACAAAATAATCATGATGTTTTGTCCATGTCACACTTATGCCGGTAGTTGTTGGGAGCACTAACTCGAAGATTACCTGGGACAAATAGTCCATAGGTTGTAGACGAGAGGTCAATCGACGGATTCAACTCGGCTGGGCAGCGTTCGGGAAATTGCGACACATCTTCTCATCAGGTATACCTCAAAACCTGAAAACTAGATTGTACAACCAGTGCGTGTTGCCAGTGATAACTTACGGATCTGAGACGTGGTCCTTCACTACTGGCCGTGTGAGGACGCTCAATGTCGCTGAGCGAGCTATGGAGAGGGATATGCTCGGGTTTTCTCTGCGTGATAAACTTAAAAATGAGGATATCTATAGTATAACCAGTGTGACCGACATCATCATCATCATCATTATAGCCCTTTACAAGTCCACTGCTGAACATAGGCCTCCCCCAAGGTATGCCACAGAGCACGGTCCTGAGCCACCTGCATCCATCGACTTCCTGCATGTCTTACCAGGTCGTCACTCCATCTAGTGGGGGTCGCCCTACACTTCGTCTACCGGTACGAGGCTGCCACTCGAGAACCTTTTTTCCCAAACGGTTGTCGGTTCTTCGAGCTATATGGCCGGCCCATTGCCACTTCAGCTTACTAATCCGTTGGGCTATGTCGGTCACTCTGGTTCTACTGCGGATATCCTCATTTCTAAGTTTATCACGCAGAGAAACTCCGAGCATAGCCCTCTCCATAGCTCGCTGAGCGACTTTGAGCGTCCTCATATGGCCAGCAGTGAAGGACCACGTCTCAGTTCCGTAGGTCATCACAGGCAACACGCACTGGTTGTACAACTTAGTTTTCAGGTTTTGAGGTATACCTGACGAGAAGATGCGTCGTAATTTCCTGAACGCTGCCCAGCCGAGTTGAATCCGTCGATTGACCTCTCGGTCGAAGTTGGACTTACCTAGCCGGACTATTTGTCCCAGGTAAACGTACTCGTCAACAACTTCGAGCTTAGTGCTCCCAACAACTACCGGCATAGGTGTGACATGGACATTAAACGTGATCTTTGTTTTGTCCGTGTTCATCTTAAGACCTATCCGTTGGGAGGCACCATTGAGGTCATTGAGCACAGTGCTAAGGTCCTCCAGCGATTCTGCCATAAGGACTATATCGTCGGCAAATCGAAGGTGAGTGATGTACTCGCCATTGATGTTAATACCGTATCCTTTCCAGTCCAGTAGCTTGAAAACGTCTTCCAATGCAGCGGTGAAGAGTTTCGGGGAAATAACGTCACCCTGTCTTACACCTCTCTGCAGTTGGATAGGTTTCGTACTCTGTTTCTGTACTCGGATAGCCATCGTAGCCCTACTGTACAAACACTTCAGCACTTCGATATACCGACAGTCAACTTGGCACCGCTGAAGAGACTGTAGCACCGCCCAAATTTCGACGGAATCAAAGGCTTTCTCATAGTCCACATACGCCAGGCAAAGTGGCAGATTGTACTCTTCGGACTTCTGTACAATTTGCCGAAGGGTATGTATGTGGTCTATGGTACTAAAGCCTTTTCGGAAACCGGCTTGTTCGGGAGGCTGGAAGTCGTCGAGTCTGCGTGCGAGACGATTCGTAATGACTCTCGAAAACAGCACGTAGACGCGGCTCAGAAGGGATATCTGTCTGTAGTTCTTCAAGAGGGCGTTGTCACCTTTCTTGAAGAACAAGACCACCGCACTTCTGCTCCACGCCTCCGGAGTAGTGCCACCATGGAGGACGGAATTAAAGAGCCTCTGAAGGACTTCAAGTACCGGTTTTTCACCCGCTTTCAGAAGCTCCGCTGTAATTCCATCCTCGCCCGGGGACTTGCCGTTTTTAAGGTGCTGGAGAGCCATTCTAATCTCGCTCAGACTGACGTCCGGGATATCATCGGAATAGTATCGGATAAGACCCGCTCTTGGATCGTTACTCACACTTGCGTGTGACTCCAACGATGATGTGTACAGCTGCCCATAGAACCTCTCAATCTCACTCAAAATCTCAGGTGTCCCGGAAACGATGCTGCCACACTCATTCTTCAGCTTTGACAGTTGGCTCTTACGTGCAGACAGATCTCTGGCAAAGACTTTGGAGCCCTGGTTCCGCTCAATCGCTACTTCAATACGAGCAGTATTAAGGTTGCGGAAGTCCCGCCGAATGCATTTTGGAGATCTGTCTGTTCAGTTGCCTGTATGCTGCCAAATCTGTCGACGATTGCAGCCTCATCTCCCGTCTAACAGCCATGAGATTAAGAGTGTGATCGGAGAGCTTTTGTGTTCTTCTGCGGCCGGTCTTGCAGAACTTAGCTCCGACCGCATGGACATTTTTCACGAGCTTGTCATTCATATCGTCCACTGCATTGCAATCTTCTAGGCACTGAAAGCGGTTACGTAACTCGAGCTGAAAGGTTTCGGGATTCTGGATTTGAGCACGAGGGGGACGGAGCGTTGACTTCATTAGACGAGACCTCTCCAACTTAACGTTTAGGTTCAGTGTGCCTCTAACCATTCGGTGATCGCTGCCAGTTTTCACCCTTGCGATCACTGAGACATCACTGAACAGTTGGCGTCTGGTCGTCATAATGAAGTCAATCTCATTTTTTGTCGAACCGTCGGGGCTCGACCAGGTCCACTTCCTGTGGGGCCGCTTCTGGAAGAAAGAGTTCATCATAAAGAGTCCCTCTTTCTCCATAAAGTCGGCCAGCTGCTGGCCCCTACGGTTCCGTTGCCCTACTCCAAATTTCCCTACCTTTAGCTCACCGCTTTCTCTTGTGCCTAGTTTTGCGTTGAAGTCTCCCATCAACACCGTGTAGTGGGTTGTGGAGGAATGTATGGCTCTGGAAATATCCTCATACATTTCCTCCACCTCCTTATCGGGATGTGCTGAGGTTGGTACGTAAACCTGTATGACCTTCAGCGAATACCGTTTAGTGATTCTGAGTATTAGGTACGCGACCCTCGTCGACACACTCCCAATCTTTACAACGTTGTTGACGAGAGACTTGTGGACGATAAATCCGACACCTCCTTGGGACAGATGGTCGCCCTTCCGGTAATAGAACAAGTTGCCGGACTCGAGGATTACCGTGTCCTCCCACTCTCTTCGGACCTCGGATAAACCAATAATATGCCAGCGCAACTTGTCTACCTCTTCTTCCAACTCTAGTATCTTCTCGTCAGTCCTCAGGGTGCGTGCGTTTTATGTTGCCAGGTCGAGTCGTCGTAGGTGGCAACCGGACCTCCACCGGAGATTCTTAGCACCCCCCTGCCGCGCCGTTACCATGGTCGCCACCGTATCCAGGAATAGCGGGGCCGCCGGGGACTGGGGGCCGTTTGTTTGCGTCGTTACTCATGGGGGGATATTTGCCATAGTTGCCACGCTTGGCGAGCGGGTTGGCAACCGCAGCTTTTTATTATCTCACAATTGTTATCAGGAAGATGCTGCTGCCCATCTCCTGCCTGTCTCCCTCTGTCGCCTCTTACGACACACACGGGAAGATATGGGGTAGTGGATATTCTCAACCGCCACTACACGGTGACCGACATGGCCCAACGGATTAGTAAGCTGAAGTGGCAATAGGCCGGCCATATAGCTCGAAGAACCGACAACCGATGGGGAAAAAAGGTTCTCGAGTGGAAGCCTCGTACCGGTAGGCGTAGTGTAGGGCGACTCCCCACTAGATGGTGACGACCTGGTAAAATGTGCAAAAAGTCGATGGATGCAGGTGGATCATGGCCGTGCTTTGTGTTATTCCTTGGGGGAGGCCTATGTTCAGCAATGGACTTGTGAAGGGTTGTAATGATGATGATGACATTTCAAATTATTTTTACGCGTTATGGCAGTGTAAATATAATTGAATAGAATCATTTTATCCAGAAATAGCAATCTGCTGCGACTTCGCACGGGTAATTTCCGGACCTCGACAGCAGTGTCATTACACGCAAATACCTACAACCAGGGACTCACTCAAATGTACACAAAAACTTCATCTAAATTTTTCAAGCTGTTTTCGAGTTTTAGCTAGACTAACTGACAGTAACAGATTTTTATATAAAAAGGTAGCTTCGACCGTGTAGTGTCCGTGTAAGAATGTTGCTATTAAACTATATGGGTTAGCACCCATATAGTTTAATAGCTGCCTAAGATGGCGACAGAGAAACACTATTCCTACTAACAATAAATAAATAAACTGCGGCTTGCAATGTTTAAGGTTGGCCGTTGTTCAGCGGTAGACTTTCGGTTAGTGGTGTAAGAATTTGCACTATCCCATGTAGCCCAGTAGCTGCCGTAGGAGGCGACAAAGGATCACTATTCCTACTAACAAAAATAAATAAATAAACTGCGGCTTGCAATCTTTAAGGGTGGCCGTTGTTCAGCGGTAGACTTTTGGTTAGTGGTGTAAGAAATTCCACTATCCCATATAACCCAGTTGCTGCCGTAGGCGGCGACAGAGAAACACTATTCCTACTAACAATAAAATTAACTAGAGCAAATGAAGAGTACATTGGAAGAACTAGAGCAAATGAGGAGTACATTGGAAGAGGCGATTGTGGAAACGCGCAGTACGCTTCTCGAAAATCGACCATGACTTCCCCGCACAGCCCTAAGCAAGCGGAATCGGGCTGTCGTGAGGGCTCTGAATCCAATGCTGGTGACCTATTTGGAAGCCAGCCGGGACTTTTGCGAGACGGACTCAATTCTTTTTGGCGCCGCACTGGCAGTCTGCCGTATTATAAGCGCCAAACTCTCCACGGCTGGACGCGCTACTGAACAAAGTATTGCTATCCCAGCCTGGAGAATAAGAATTGAAGAGCATATCGCAAAGGCTAGGGCCCTCATAGGCAGACTGATATGCTTCAGGTCAGGCAATACCAGGCCAAGGATTGTGCGCACCGTCAGGATGGCGTTTGCTGGGACAAATGTTAGTTTGTCCCAGCCGGATATAATGCAAAAATTGACCGAGCGCATAGACGACCTGAAGCAGAGATCGCTGCTTGGAGAAAGCGGATTCGGCGATATACCGAGAGGTCGACACGGTTCAACCAGAATCGTCTCTTCCAGAGTGATTAGAAGAGGCTTTAAAATCATTGGAGCTACCAATAGTAAGTGGAACGGGCCCAGCACCGAATCAGGCCGACACGGTCGCATTCTGGCTACCTGTGGTCAGAGCCCGTAAACCAGAGTGAGGGCCCTTGGACGGAAGTTGCGACGAGTCAGTGTGCGGGTATAACGCCCATGGAACCCGTCATCATAGCGCCGGATGACGTAGCTGAGGCGGTCCGTAGGGCCTCGAACTGGAAAAGTCCGGGGCTTGACTGGCTGCATCACTACTGACAGTTTCAAGAGGCTCTCAACCAGAAGTCGCTTCCAAGCCTCTTCACTACTGGGACCACTCATTTGGTTCCTAAAGACCAGGGTACCACAGACCCGAGCAAATACTGCCCCATCACATGTCTACCGACCATATACAAGACACTAACATCCATTTTGAGCGCGAGAATCACTCGTCAACTGGACTCAAATCAGGTGATGTCGCGCGCTCAAAATGGATGTCGGGGCGGCGGTCGTGGAACCAAGGAACTACTCCTCATTGACGCGGTCATTGGTAAAGTGGTGAAATGCAACCGTCGGAACTTCTCCGCCGCCTGGATAGACTACAAAAAGGCATTTGACTCGGTGTCCCATACATGAATAAAAAGGGTCCTCGAGCTGTACAAGATTGACTGTACAGTTCGAGGCTTCCTCGGGCAGTGTATGGGACAGTGGAGTACGATCCTCTGTCATCTAGGAGACTGGATGACGGCTGCGGAAAGCCGCATAAGGATAAGAAGGGGTATATTCCAGGGCGAATATCTGAGTCCAATCTGGTTCTGCCTCTTTTTGAACCCTCTCAGTACTTTACTGGAGGGCTCCGGGAGGGGATTACAGCTTCGGAAAAGAGGTACAAAAATGACCCACCTTTTCTATATGGATGACCTCAAATTATTCGACTCCAGTCGCTCCCATCTTATGGAATTGTTAAACATCACTTATGAATTTAGCAATTCTATTGGAATGGAGCTGGGGACGGATAAGTGTGCGGTCCTCCATGTTGAAAGGAGAAGGGTTGCTAACTCTGAGGGCATAGACCTATCTATGCCCGTCAACTTAAGAACCCTTTCCAAGGCTGAACATACCGATACCTGGATATGTCACAGAACATCGGTATTGATGAGGCTGGTATGAAACAGTCAGTTTGCGACATGTTTTATGCACGCTTGACCAAAGTGCTTAACAGCCTTTTGTCCGGTGTTTTTTTTTTGTTTTTTTTTTTAACTGTGGACTCAGACTGAACTTAACGCCCTGGATAGAAAGGTCCGCACTACCATGACGTCTCATAGGATGCATCATCCGAGATCGTCGGTAATGAGGCTGTACTTGCCGCGAAAGCATGGTGGGCGTGGCTTCCTGAGCGCGCTCACCATGCATAATCGCGAAGTGTGTAGCCTCCGTGATTACTTCCCGGCGAGATCGGATGATCCATTTTATAATGACGTCATTTCTAGTGATAAAGTGCTTACCCCTCTATCCTTAGCCAACGAGCAATGGCAGGACCCAGCAGTACAAAGCATTTCCCACCGGGAGACCGTATGGAAGGAGAAGGAGCTCCACGGGAGGTACTACACGGCCCTTCTACATGAGCCCTTCGTAGATACAGTCGCCTCCCTCAACTGGCTACGTTTCGGTGATCTCTTCGGGGAAACCGAGGGTTTTGTCTGTGCAATACAGGATCAGGTTATTAAGAGCAACAACTATCGGAGATATATCCTAAAGGATGGCACCGTCGACGTCTGTCGAGCTTGTCGCCATCCCGGTGAGTCACTTAGGCATGTCATCTCCGGTTTTTCGGCGCTTTCTAACTCAGAGTTCTACACCAGGAGCTCGCTCTGAAATACGGTCTCGTGGACCGGAAATTGCCGTATTACAAGTACTTGCCGGAAGCCGTGCTCGAAAATGACCGCGCCAGGCTCTACTGGGACTGGGCCATCATCACAGACAGGACTATTCTTGCGAATAAGCCCGAAATTGTGTTGGTGGACCGGGCACAGTCTAGGATATTTTTGGTCGACATTACCATTCCGTATGACGAGAACCTCGTGAAAGCCGAATCGGATAAACAAACAAAATATCTGGACCTGGCTCACGAGGTGATCGACATGTGGGGTGGTCTGCCGGCCGAAATTATTCCTGTAGTCGACTCTGCGAATGGGCAGAATCACAAATAATCCCAGTCAGCCTCTCGGGTCATCTGAGGCGACAAATTTTAGCTTATTGTCGTTTGGGCACAACGTGACAGCAAAAGATCATTAAAAACATATTTTACCACTTCTTGCAGCCCTTTTAAGCTATTAAAAATAAACGAAGTAAATAATGAGGTGAAAGAAAACTTTTTGTTAATTTCTCTTTTCAAGGACCGATACGACTTAGGGACCTTCAAGAAAAGAGCTTACTCCTTTCTAAAAAGCCGGCAATATATCTGCAATTCCTCTGGTGTTGCAGCTGTTCATGGGCGGCGTTTGCCCCATCTTCTACAAAAAAAAAAAAAGAAAAAAAGGGCGTTTTGAATTTTATATAGAATAATTTCATTAGAATGAAATAAATCTTATTAATATGTCTTAACTAATCGCAGCGGGGGATCTACTAATATCTAAGATCCGACATCAAATTGTATTTGTAATCAAGTTTCATATTTCAAATTGAAAACACATTAATTAATAAATCCCTTGAATTATCCAACTTATCACCTCTGGGAAATAGTATGTAATAGACACGTTACTCAGTTAAACACACACAGAATACCAGCATAAAATAGTAGCTATGCCGCTGTTCTTTTGGTGAGTGAAGATAACCATAGACTATTTTTATTTACAGGAAACAAGACATTTCAGCTTAGTCCTCAGGGGTGGCAACGCATCTGCATTTAGATTCCTAATCGAGGATAAATGTAGATGTCTATGGGCCACAGCATCCACTTAACATCAAGTGGACTGTGTTGTCGTTTATCATCCTTATTTTATAAAATAAAAAATTAAAACTGTCTCTCGTTCTCTTTAAACCTAAGAGAGCGTTACCTATTCGGTAATATTACTTGGTCAAAAAAGCCACAAGGTCCTATATAATTTTTAAACGAAATTAAGACCCTTTAAAGAGTATTACATCATGTATATGTTGCAGACAACTAGCCTAACTAGCCTTTCAGTTAACAGGCTAGCCATTGTACTAAACTGCACTGTTCCTGTCGCAGCTATCTAGCTTAATAGCCTTTCAGTTAAAAGCCTTTTTATTAAACGACACCGTTTAATAAGTGGCCCGAATGTTTTTCAGCCCATGCGTTTCAGCCGATGCGTCTAATACAACATTTCATGACTAATTGTGAACTATGTGCTGTATTGTATAAATATACACGGCTTTAGGATGACCCAAGGACCACATCAAACGCACCTTAACCTACAGTAGGTTATATTACAAGATAGTTACAATGTTATTTTAGACGCATCGACTAGATAAAGGGCGAGAAAGATAAACTCATCAATAGTCTGACAGCAGTGTCTTTCTAACAATCAGAAAATATGAAATATAAACTATGGTTGCCAACGCTACGCAAAACGTGCCCGCCAAATGTGTCAACCATAGCTAATTTCCCCCTTATGAGGCAATCTACACCTATTTTCAACCGTGTAACCCGGGCTTATTCCCAGCCGACACTAACGAAATTGTTAATTGCAGTTTTAAGTGCTGATTTACCACATGCTCCGCGATGAATGAAAACATCATGGTGAAACCTTTATGTTTGAGGAATCAAACGTTTCAAGAAAGTGTGAAGTTGCCCAAGACTCACAAGAGCAGCGCAGCGAATAAATTACTCCATAACCTCCTTAAAAATGACATACAGAGGTAGTATGTTGACTTTTACGAGGGCGGCACTGAAAATTTCGGGAATCAAGGAAGTGACACAACATTACTATTTAAAAATGTATTTATTGCTTTTCGAAGTATTCTCTGCGAATTTTGACACATTTTTCCATACGATGGAAGCAATCACTTAAGCAACCATTCCATTCGAAAGTTGGGGTCTCCAAAATGGCCGTTTTGTAGGTGTCCACATCTTCTTCAGGTGATGAAAATCTCTGTCCACGCAATTTATTCTTTATTTTGGGGAAACTATAGAAATCATTAGGGCTTAGGTCGGGGCTGTACGGTGGATGGTCTAATAATTCTATGTTTTCTTGCTCTAAAAACTCTTTTGTTCTGTGTGCGGTGTGAGAACTCGCATTGTCGTGATGTAGGATGATGCGGCGGTTTCAGTTCTCTTTACGGAGTTCAGAAACGACCTGTGGCAAACAAATGCTAGCATACCGTTTTGCATTAACCGTCCTTTGTCCCTCAAGGGGAATAGTCGTAACATTGCCGATTTTGGAAAAAAAACGTGGCAATCATTTTTTTGCTACACTCCGTGAACGAACAATTTTTGTTGGCTTTAACTCATTTTCGAACAGCCAAACTCGTGACTGGTTTTTTGTTTCGGGTTCATACGCATATATCCAGGATTCGTCACCTGATACGATGTTGTATACAACATTTGAGGATCCTGTGTGGAATCTTTCGAGAGTTCTGACGCACCAAATAACGCGAGCCGCTTTTTGCTCTTCACAGAGCGAATGCGGTATCCATCGGGAAAACAACTTTTTTAAACCTAATTGTTCACGCAAGATTATTTGTATTCGACTCATGCCAATGTCTAAAGTTGCCTGAATTTCGCGGTATGTCACATGTCGATCTTCCTCAATCAGCTTACGCACAGCATCAACGTTTTCTTGGGTGACTGCAGTTTTTTGACGACCTTGACGGGGATCATCACTGAGCTTGACACGTCCACGTTGAAATTCAGCAAACCAGCGATAAATTGTGGTTTTGTATGAGGCTTCATCACCAAATGCAGAAATCGTCCGGTCAACACACTGTTTTTGTGTTAAACCACTTCGAAAGTCATAATAAATCATCGCTCTTAAATTTTCTCGGTGAATTCCATTTTCTCAACGACTAAACAAGTTTGACAAAACCTTGTGACAAGACCGAGAATCTTTTTTTAAATAAATAAATGGTATTCGATTTTTAAAACCAAGTAGTTTTCAATTA